TCTTCTTCCTGGAACTTCTCGTTTTTGGCACAATCTGACAATATCATGAAAATGGAGGTAAAACTCATCCTTGTTCCTTCTCTTGATGAAGTTTCACTCATTATGTGTTGACCTTGGAAGAGTTTCCATCTTCGTTTAGTCTTCTTTCAGACTTGATGTCATCAGGACGGTTCAGTTTCCATTGATGTTGATTGAAATGATTAATTGATCTCACACTGAACATTCTAGTTTTAAATATCTAATCATAAACTCTTTTGCAATACACAATCAAAGGAATCATTGCTATCAATGATTTACCATTCCAGTTGACTATCAATTCAATTGAACATCTTTTCCGTTCATTCGCCTCAGTTCAAAATCGACTATTAAATCATAATCAAACAATCGACAAAAGAGAATCGACTTATCAAGTTAATTAGATAATTTTTAATCTAATCTCAATTTTGTTGGACTTCATGGTGAGACGCTTTGTTACATTTTTACATTCAAATCATTTCTCTTTGTTCTTCCAATCTGATGGGACATTTGCTCCTTTATCTTGATAACTTCAAGATTTAATTACTTACAGAATTTTCAATGAACATTGTGAATACCAGATGGTTTGTACTTCTGTTTATGTTAATAATTAAACAGTTTTTGCTTAATGAGTAAAACAATCATTGTCACTATTTTATTGAATATTTTACATGTTAATTGAACTAGATGGTGACAATTGCAAAGCTATTTAAAAACATTTGGATTTTTGGTTTCATTGAAAGTTAATTTTAATGTTCAATTTACTATTTAACCTTGATTGTTGCCATCAAAAAATGAAGCAAACATTCAATCAACTTTATTGAACTCTTCATTCATCTTCTGTTATGGTCTATCATTCGTGATATCATCATTATAATCATCAGAATCATCCAGTTTCAAGGATGAATCTTGATTTTAACACAGTAACTGTATAGTTGCTCTTGTTTCCGGTCATTAATTCTGTTCCATGCTTGATCAGTCAAAATGATGATGATTACATCGATTAATAAAGAATCTCATTTCATTTTTTAAACTGTCAATTTCATAATAATTTCATGATCAATTTGGTTCGTTGTAAATTACTCACTAATCAATAATCCAATGTCCACTGATTTTGCTCATTAAAAACTCTCAATGAAAAATCATCTTTTTACTCGAATCTGATTCAACTTAATTGACGTAACGATTCAACTATAATCTTGTGAAAACTTGATCGTAAATTCATAGACATCATGAAAATGGTTCGTCGAGATGAAATGATGCAAAAGAAGGAATAAAACAGGGAAAATGCGAAAATGGTTGGAAATTTAGTAAACAGAAGATTCTTGGATTAGATTTTGTCTTCTCTCTTTTATTGGTTGGAAGAAGCAAGTTTGGCTCTGAATGATTTAGGCTGAGAATGAAAAATTGGAAAGATATTCGAGACTCGATTTCAGTTTACTGATTTTCTTTTCATCTCTCTTTATCTGCTTCCTTGTCCCATGTTTATGTCTTTTCAGAATTAGATGAAGATTGAGTAAAATATGAGGAGACCTTGAAACCCAAAGTAAAGCAAAAGGCTTTCATCTCAAGTGATGAAAGTTTCCTGATCTTTCCTTTATTCTCAGTTCAACCTTTTCCAAGCGATTTCCTTATGAGTTTTTTTTCTCCTTCTTCATCTTATTCTTCATCAGAACCATGTAAGTCTACAACTTATTTGTGGTGTCTTCTTCTGTCTTCATTTCTCTCTTTCATCTTGTTCATAATGGACCCAACTTAGGCTTAAACTTTACCAGCATAATGAGAGTCTCGACATGAATTGCTTTTCTGGTTTCAAGGTATAAGAGGACAACAGAAGATGAAGAAACTCAAGATTATATTTATTACAGACATTTGTTCATATGTATATTCAGTGTCACATGAAAATGCAAAAATTATTCTGATCGATATTGGTTGACACCAAAGTTATTAATAACAACATTGTTACGAGGTTATATTTATCATTCAATAAAATTAAACACCAACTGCTTTAAACGGTCGACTTTTGTTCAAAATATCGACATTTACTTTAAACATTTTACTCTTTTTTACTTCATCACTTTTCTCACCTGTCAATGTCACTTTGGTCATCTTATTGGATGATAAAAGGATGATGTGAAACAAGAACATCTTATGATATCAACATGAATTATTTTCATTCATTGGTCTTCCTAATCTTTTACCTTGTTTCACCTTTTTTTAATGTCCAGACCTTTTTTTATTGATCTTGTCTTTACTTTTGAAAAGGTAACTTTTTATCTCTTCTGGTCACTAACCATTAACCTGTTTATTTGTTTCAAATGATACAATTTAAATTCACCTTTACTTTTGTTCATTCTCGCAACTTGTTTGTTTCTTCAAACGAAAAATCAATTTTCATTTAATTTATTCAATTTGTTTCAATTTAGCTGAGTAACTATTTTAGTCTCATGATGATTCAGTTGAAATAATTGACAGTAAAATCATTGATTTTTCATTTCTCAATTGAACAGAAAAAAATAGTTAACCATTAAAAGTAAAGACAAAGTAGATAATTTTTAATGAATTTTAATTATGATAATTTCCCATTTCCAGCGCATTAACTTTAAAAGTTGATCTATTTAAAGGTTTTCATTGAAACCAGTGAATCAATAAGAGTTACCAATGTAACAATGAAAATGTTGTCGAAATTTGTCTTTCTCAAATTGTCCAGAATCTGTTTACGGTTTGCTAAGTAACAATTGGTTTCTTTGAACAATTGAACATTTACAGATGAATTTGAAAAGTTACCAAAGAGAAACCCTTTCAACTGCATTCACTGTCCCTTCAACTCCCAGTTTGCTCAGCACTTTAACCATTAAAAGTCCCAATTTAACCAGTTTTATCGGCTTGTCTTTCACCACTTTCCTTTCCATGTTTTCCCCTGAACATGGCATCACTAACATATCGATTACCGATACCCGGACCTTAACCAGTTGAGTTGCCTTCTAACTTCATCTTCATCTATTCAGTCTTTATTCTGGTGTCGCATTCTTTCTCCATGTTCCCCTCTCTTTTCCCCTTATCCTTCTGACCCAGTTCCTTAAAGCTATACATTATACGAATCGATTCGAGTAGGTGGTGCTGGTTGAAGAGGGGAAACCTCTATACATGGCAAAAAGAGTCTGTGTATGAGAGAGAAAGAAAAGTCTGGTTCTGAAGAAAGAGAATCAAATGTTTAGGATATTCAGTTAAGGAGAAGAGGTAACATGGTGAACAGATTCTGAACATTGAATCAATCGTAGAGGAAAAAAGAGAGAAAGAAAGCAAAATAATCCAAAATATACCATAAAAGATATTCTGATATAAATAACATCCCAGTTACCTTTTTTCATTTTCATTCCTGTTCCCATGTTAATAATAGATATTTATTATTGTAATTAATATCATTTACATTATTACTGTCAAAGTACAATGATCACAAATGAATTCCTCCAAATTTTCTCATCTATTTAAATGTATTTACCATCATAATCAACTTTTAATCAAAATGTTCATCTAATTATTTTTTTCGCCATCAAATTTCATTCACTTTTTCTTCATCTTCTTCTTCGTCTGAGTGTGTCTACATAAATAATAACAATAATAATCATTATATTGATTTCATTTTTGCTCACAATATTTTCCATGTTCTTGTTGGAATAGAAAATTTTCATTCTGAAAATCTCTCATTTCTTCCAAAAAACAATAGGATCATCAATTTAACATACAACAAACTTGATTGTGCCTTCTAATCCTTACTCATCACATTCAGTGTTGCAAATAATCTTAAAACACAAAAGTGATTGATGACGATACAATTATCTTAACTGAAATAATTTTTTGATTATTATTATTCTTGTTCATTATCATCTTTGCTCATCATGATAGTGCTTCTTCCTTTGCCAAACAGTCTGATAATTCACCAACAGTTATGTTGAAAAACAATCTTTCAATCCATTTGATTACATTTTATTTTACTCTACTTTCAATCTGAAACTCAGTTTTACTGCTCTTTTTTATCTTCTCTTCTTCCATCATCTCTCTCTCCTTCATCGGAAACTTCATCATCATCATCATCAGTTGTAACATTATCATTATCTTGTTGTGATCGATGATCGATTAATGTTTCCATTTAGTTACGGAATTTTTATTTATTAATTGTTCTGTGTTGGGTTACCCTGTGAATAAAATTATCAATAATAATGAGGATTGTTCTGTTGATTACCAATATCATTAACAATTGTCATGGATCCAACTAAATGGAACACAGTGTCACCAATGTAAGGATAATGTGTATTTCCTCATCTAATTGACTTGGACAGCTTTAATTGTTGTGTCTACAATTAAACTGCCAATTGAAACAGTGTAACATTGGAAAGGTTCAACTTTTTGTAGTTTGTTGTTTCAAAGGAAACGGCAACAGAAAAGTTGAAATGTTTGAAAACTCGTTTTTTAATCGTTGAGGCTTGATTTTGTTAGTTGCCAGTAGAGTTGCTAAAATGAAATTAAAGATGAATTGTTGTTGTTGATGATGATTATGAAGAGAAAGAGAGGGAGAAAGAGAAAGAAAGCGAAAGAAAGCGAACGAGAAAGAGAAAGAGAACGAGAAAGAGAGCCAATGGGAAGTCTGTAAGTAAGTCACATGGTAAATTAGCTGTAACTGATAGAAAGAGTGATAGACAGAGTTTCATTGAAAGCACACACTTAACCCATCATAATGTGTGCTTTTGCTTTCTATCTTCTGGTTGTACCAACAGTCAACAGCACGGAAGCACCTTATGGTCTAATTTGATCTCATCTCATCTCGAATATTTATTTTTTGATATTTTTTGCTTTTTTTTGAAAAATCATCTACCTCTTTATTTGTGATTCTCATTCTCTCATCTTTCAATTTTTATTTCTTTTGGTATGTTCGTAACATGGTTTTACTCACTTTCGTTTATTTCTTCCAATCTTTGTTCTTACAGTGTTCACAAAGGGCCAATCAGAGACTGGATATTATCGTCTGCTTGCCAAACGTGGTGGTTACATTTGGATTCAAACGCAAGCAACGTTGATAACAGATAATCACACTCAACAGCCTATCAGTGTTGTCTGCGTCAATTACGCTCTCAGGTGAGTTTACGATTTTCCTCTTTCCATGCTTTTTTTTGCATAAGCTATCAGTTGAACTTCTCACCCATTATTTCAATTTTTTCCTTCCTCAATCTCTCGCCTCTTTCCTTATCATCTCCTCCTTCTTGTTTCCAATTTTTAAGAAGATTAGATTTCTTGACTTTTCTTGGCCTTAGATTGAAAACATTTTACGCAAGTCTCGAAACATGCATACATTTATATTTAGATGATTTGACGGTGTTAATTTAGCAATGTGTATCTTAGTGAGATGAGGTATATTTTTGGGAGAAGGTGTCAATGGTACACTGCTTGATACACTCCTACTTTTGCTCTGCTTCGATGTTGCTAATGATGATTATGAAGTTTTTTTTCATTCGAACTCGAATCAGAGATTGAGTTACTTGGACTTATCATTACTCGGCATTTCGAGAAGAGTGCAGGTATTGAATCAATTTTATCAGTTATATCCGATGTTGCGGGAAAATTGTTTGAAAAATTGATCATTTCAACCTTTTCACAATTTTAATCTCATTCCTTAATCCAAGAACCTTCTGTTTGTGTCTCACTTCTCAGTTTCTTATCAACATTTTATTATGCTGAATTTAATTTACTAATGTAATTATATCGTTTTGTCCTAATTTTTCTTATAGTGGTATCGAGAATCAAGAAGAGATCATTTCAGAAGAACAATGTCAAGAAAGGCAAAAGGAATCGTATCATTTGGTTGACGAGACTAATGATGTTTTTATCAAATTGGCAGCATCAAGTTTAATTGATACCAGTAATAATCCTACTGATACAAATATCAACAATACAAAGCTCAGTCAAATTGAAACTACCCATTCAACTTACGATAATCAAGGATATATTGATTACCAATTATCCAGTGGAATATTGGTAAATAAACCAGTGTCAACGGAAAATCTACTCAACAACTTGGTAAATGATCAATCATCGACTTGCTCTCAGGTTAAAGACAACCAATTAGAAGAAGAGCAACCACAATATCAACAACAACACTGCCAACAACTGCAGCAACAAACTTGTAACCAAGGGCAATTGCAATCGATTCTTATCCAACCCTCGCAAGCACCAGCTTTCAATTCAGCCCAATCTTTTACACGATCATCAACTCCGTTTATATTCACACCCTTAGCCGGCAATAGTTTACCTACTCCGGCTACTGCTACCATCTTTGCACCTCGCACGGCTGATATGAACCCTGGTTTTCTTATGCCCATTGGTGATGATGATAACAACTTTGGCTTAACTGTTTTACCGGATATTGAAGCTTGTGATCCCGAACAAGATTTAACTCATTTGGCTCCTCAAGCTGGTGATTATTGTGTTCCACTCGAGATTGGTCCTTTACCTTCATTTGATGGTTTCTCAATGGAAAATATATTGAAAGAAATGGGATTTGCCTCTGCTGTTGCAGAAAATTCATGTGATCCTCAAGACGAAATTGTAATGTCAGGGAAAAGTGATACAGATTCTACGCCAACTATTAATCCTAATATCATAAATGCTTCTTCAACGGATACACATTTATCATCAAAACCTAACGATAGCTGCAAGATAAATGCTACCGTTACCTCAGCAGACAGCGCCAGTGATGCTGTTATTATAAAAAATAAAGTTAATACTGTTGATAATTGTGATGTTGATGAAAATGATGATGAAGAGACCCTTAATTTTACCGATTATCTGCCAACTGATAATAAATTGTTGCCTTTCATACCAACGGCTGTAGCCGAAGAAGAGATCCAGTTTTCTTGTGATGAAGATGTTGGTTTAACTTCAGAGACCCGTAATTCAAAGAGTTGTGTCATTGATGAAGATGGTCTTGGTGATACAAATAGTTTAAGTGATTTCCTTTGTAATCAACGTTTGATTGAGACACCAATTCTTGATCATCTTCAATGCACAACGTTAAAAGTAGATGAAAGGACGATATCAAATAAAACTGAGATCGTACAAGAGTTATCCAAATCAGATGCAAGCAAATCTGATTCTAATGTTTATAACAAGTGTGATTTTACCCCTGAGGAGGATATTGATAATTATGTCGATGCAGAAGATGATAATGTATCATCTATCTGTAGTCCGGATTCTGATGTTACCGTTGGCTCCGGTGGATCTGGAGTAGGTTGTAACAGCTCAACAAATAACCTACTTTTAGAGATGAACCTCAACAAGCATGGGATCAATGGTTCTTCAAGTCCACTTCATAATGATCCATTCCTAAGTTTTACCAATGGCCTTGGTGGCCTCGTCAGTGACAACTATCTGTGTTCCCTGTCTTCTTCAAGCTCATCCTCGAGTTCACCGAGCAATTTTTACATCTCGTCCCGTAACACCACGAATAGCCCTGATTTCACTCTAACATCAGTTTCAATAAACAGAAATCCAAGTGAATCAGTAAGCAAAAGGCCTTCTTCGCTGTGCGACTCACCGCCTCCAAGCAGCTGTAACAGTACGCTCACTAGTGATTTAGATTTGTGTGGATCATTCGCTGCTGAAGATGAGGACGAATTTGACTCTCTAGGAGGACGATCGTGTGGCCGCATAGATCGCGCCATTGAAAGACATTGTGATGATGAATTTCCTTTATTACCTAACGATGAATCGATTTGGGATATGTTTATCCACTCTAATGACATAAATGATATGATCAATAGTGATGAACTTCTTTCTGCATCGCCAACTTACTTTGATGATCATCGATTCATTTCCAAGGAAAATACTTTGAAAGGCTCATCAACATCATGTTCTTCAGACTCAACTTCTACCAACAATGGCAGTAACAATTTTGCTAATGAAGGTGCTGATGGTTCCTCGGAGAGTAACAGTAATGGTAACAATGATTCTTTCCTGTTGAATAGTAATTTGGCCATGTTACTCCAAGGAAAGGATACACCGTTTAAGAATTACTCTCTTGCCAGTAAACAGTCAGTAAACCAAGCATCTTCACATCATCAGCAGCAACAATCTTCAGTATCACTTGCTGTAGCATCTCGAAATCGCTTCCACAATTACTCGGCCAACTTGCCTAAAACCTCTTCATCCTCTTCCCCTTCTTCCTCCTCTTCTGTCGATAGCAACCGAATCAATTCCAATTATGTTATAGTACAAAATAATCGTTCAATAAAAACATCATCAAACCATGCTAATGGTACAAAGGATATCATCAAATCCGCTCAAACTAACCTCCAAAATTGGTAAGAAATTGTTTCATTTGATTCCTGTTTTGAATTTTCCAGCCAATAGTTATTTAAAGTCTTCTCTCTTTTTTTTCTCAACTATTCTAGTGACATGAGCAGGAATGAAATTGACCATAAATCTGATTATTTTACACTTGATTCTGAGATGAAAAAATATCAAACCATGGCAGACTCAGTTTACTCTAAATTTGGACCTAATTATGTCAAAATTGCTCGTAAATTGGCCTACAATTCATCATCTTCATCTTCGTCTGTGCCACCTCCTAAAAGAGCTTATCTTCCTTCAAAAAGCTCGTTGGAGAATAACTATAAAAGAATGAAATTGCCTTCAAGTGAGTTTTTCTCATCTTTATTCTTTAATCAATAATATCAAGTTTGCCTCATGATGGAAAAAATGAGAATCACGACTGAATGAGCTTCAAAAGAATAGGGAAAGCATAGATGAAAAGATGAGGGATGCAAAAAGGGGAAAAGATATCATCAGCATTAAATACATCATTTGGATGATGAAAAAGAGTAAAAGTAAACAATCGTTACAAAGTTGATAAAAAAATAACGTAAAGCTTAAGATGATGATGTTTTGTTTTTGATAATAATGATGTTGCTAATCTAATAGCTTTACTACTTAATTATTTGTTTAAATGTTAACGGAAAGGGAAATAAGCAGATTATTGCATAGCTGTCCACGAATGTTATTTTGATAATTTGATTGTCAATTCCTAAACATTAAGATTATTGAAAAGAGACAAGAGACAATGAGTGTTTTTTAATCAATCTCATCTCATCTCTTTATCATAATTCTGATCAATTACTTATCGCATGTGTGATTATTTATAACAAGATGGTTGATCCGCCGATCTTATCTAAATTCATATTGCCGTTTATTAGATGCAGGTCATGTTGAGGTAATAATTATATGGAGAATGATAATCACTTTGATGTGTTGACTATTTTGATTGAATGATTCTCATTTTGTATCACCATCACTTGCCATTCTTGAACTTTAATTGAAGACCATCCTCAAAACTTTGGGTGTAAACATGATCAACTAATTTGTTTCATTTCTTTTCTTTATCCCACCCTGGATACTTTTAGCACTGCCATCAATGCAAGGAACCTCGGTGCTCATGAACCTTTTGGTTAATGGAGAAGATGTAACTAACGGTTACTCTCGATTCCAGCAGCAATCACATCTCAAGAATAACAGTCTAAATGTCAACATCGGCTGATTATTCCTGATTTAAACAAGCCAAACAAGCAACAAGACAAAACAATTTCTTTCCCTTTTCTCTCCTTCTTTCTCCTTTAAACTTGTCTCCCTGTCAAACAAAAAAAACAACGACTACAAATCAGTGTGTGTACAGTAATGATACAAAAGCATGAAACAATTATAAACAAAAATTACTGAGTTTTTGTTACCTAGTAAATGATAATATTAAGTCTAAAAATTACAAGTTAATAAGATATAAAGTTAATATGATTTAATGCAAACCGTAACTCAAACATTTGATTGTCACTCTTTTCGGACAGTTAATCTTAAATTTGACAGCAGATTGAAAGGAACACGAAAGAATAATTTAGGCTTAAATAAGAACATAAAAAACTAGTTTCACTTTCTATTCAAAGTTTTGTCTTGGTTTGCTAACTTGTTTGTTCAACTTCAGCGAAATAGTTATTATTGCTAACACGGAATTTAACTGCATATAGACATTCAAAATTATGGTTTTGGAACTTGAGATAATCTAAGAATAATTTTGATAAAAATCTAGAAATGAGTTTGAATGGTTGGTTAATGTCGTCAGAGACTTCCTTAAGATTAAAATAAGCTTTCTAAATGAACCAAAATAAACGAAGATGCATTGAAATGAAAAATTATTTTTCAATATCTACTTGTTAACCTTTTATTTTACTATTTTAATTTGTGAATCAATAGATGCCAATATGTGATGATTTGTTTTTTGTTTTGTTTTACCCTTTCTTTTTTGCTAATAATTGCCATTAAAGGGGCTGAAGAAACTTACTGAATCAGGATCAAACGAGAATGGATAAAGTTTGAAAATTATTTAAACTGATGAACGATTTTTCTTTATAATTAACCTTGATTCTTTTCATTGTAATATTTTGTTTGATTTAAAAATTTCATTTCACAGCAATTCTTGACTCATGACATTAAATCACAATTATTCAAATCTCAATATCGAGTACAACCCATTCATTTTTAACTCATACACTGTATTGTTCACTCTAAATGACTATTTCAATAAATTACTAAAATTAACATTAAATCATTACAAGAAAAAGTATAAGAAAGAAAGATCAAAGGCCAATATGCGATATCAATTTAAAATAAGCAATTAACAAGTCTGGCGACGTGGAGATACAATGTTTAAAATCTTTGCCATGAGAAGTACGAGATTTAAGCAAATAATAATAACATTATTTCTAGAGTTTTACGAATATTTGCGAGGAAATCGATAGTAATATTGTATTTGGTGGATCTGAATAAAAATACAATAATTATCTTGTTTCAAGAAGAGAAGTTTAAAAAATATAAAATATTTATACCCAAGTTATTGATTGGAAGATCCATTAACCCAAAATTCAATTTGCGCGCCATCTCACTGGTAGTCATTCGCTTTTTCTGCCATTCATTTTCCTCCGGTTTTTCTTGTTCGGTAAACATAGAGATTTAATTGTTTATTTTGCCATGGCTAATGTTTCTTATTTAGTTGCTACAATTGGAGCTATTGTAGCTATAATTCATTCGTCTTTGCATAAAATTGAAGAAGGTATGTATATATCATCAAATATTTTGTAAAATATTCTTTTGTCATTCAAATGCGTGTTAGCAATGTTTGAATTATTTCCCCTTTTCATCAATTGGTAAATTATTACTTTGTAGGTCATGTTGGTGTATATTATCGTGGAGGAGCTTTGCTCAAGGATACATCCCATCCTGGTTATCATATGATGGTTCCATTCATTACCTCATTCCGATCAATTCAAGTAACCTTACAAACAGATGAAGTGAAAAATGTTCCTTGTGGTACTAGCGGTGGAGTAATGATTTACTTTGATAGAATCGAAGTTGTGAATCTTTTGCGAGCTGACGCTGTATACGATGTTGTAAAAAATTACACTGCTGACTATGACAAGGCCTTAATTTTCAACAAAGTACACCACGAACTCAATCAATTCTGTAGTATTCACAGTCTGCAAGAAGTTTACATTGATCTGTTTGACCAAATAGACGAAAATTTGAAGACTGCATTGCAAGTTGATCTCGTCAATATGGCTCCTGGGCTATACATACTTGCAGTTCGAGTTACCAAGCCCAAAATACCCGAAACAATTAGACAAAATTATGAAAAGATGGAAGGAGAAAAAACAAAGTTGCTAATAGCTCATCAAAGACAGAAGGTTGTTGAGAAAGACGCTGAAACTGAGCGGAAAAAGGCTCTCATTGAAGCTGAAAAAGTGGCTAGTGTATCCAAAATTCAATTCGAACAGAAAATTATGGAAAAGGAATCTTTGAAAACGATGGCTTCTATTGAAGACGAAATGTACATAGATCGGCAAAAGATGAGAGCAGATGCAGAGTACTATGCTATTGAAAAGAAGGCTAGAGCAAATCAATTGTTATTTACCCCTGAATATATGCAAATTAAAAAGTACGAATCAATTGCAGCAAACACTAAAATCTACTTTGGTAATAGCTTACCTCACATGTTTGTGGATGGAACTAGTGGAGATAAAATAAAGGCAGCCGAAAACCTGCAAGCAGCTAATGAGTTTGATAAAGAATCTTCTGATTCTTAGTTATTTGTAATCAGTAATTTTTCAAATTTTTGGTTAAATTATGTAAAATATTGGATAATAAAAAACAATGTTTATTTGGAATCATTTTGAATCTTTTCTGGATATCTTAAACTATCTAATAAAGTGGAAAGACGATAGAGTAACTGTACTGTTAGTCCAATATTTATTAGTAACACAGTAATAATGAGTTACATTTAATTCAATCTGACCGGTCTGTTGAAAATTAAATATAAAATGTAAATCGATTTGCAAAATCGAACAGTTGAACATGATTAACTCTAAATTAACTCGAGAGACTGATTTTTCCTGTTTTACAGTAGGTTTGTATTGGTGTCCAGCAAAGATCAAAGGTAATTTTTCAGTGTAAATTTGTGATGGTATAAGATGGTTGATAAGAATCATCAAGATCAATGTCAATCAGGAAGTCATGATCAGTAGGATTAATCTGTTCACTTTGTTCTGGGCCATATCTTTCATTTTGGTGCTCCAAAAGTATGCTATAAACTGATTTATGGAGTTCAATAGTTCCTTGTCCAAAATGAGTTTCAGTTATTGAATACCATGGAGTGTAGGGTGGGTTATGTTGCAAAAAAGATAAATGAACATCTTTGAATTCGTCGAAATGAAAAAAGGGTATAAAAGATCCTGGTTGAGGTAGTCTATTCAGATTAAGAGTAGCTTTAGCCTTTTCCAAAAGTTTTTCTTTCATCAAAGTAACTTCAGATGTAGATTCTTTTAGTTTATTATGAAGATTTTCAAGCTTCTCCTGTTGATAAACAGGAGCAAAGAGCACATTATCTCCAGGTAGACGATTAAGCTTGGTTGTGGATGAACGTGATGATGACCGAGATGGTGGACGGTTAGCTTGATTATTAGGTGACGAAAGTGAGTTTTTGCTCATGTTTCAATATTTAAATTACATATAAGTCAAATGATAAATTTTACTCTAGTTACATTTGCGAGACACAAAAACTATTGATTAATAAATTTTCAATGAATACGGATTTCTCATTCATTAGATATTTTATGAACCGTTTTGATTCAACATCGCTAAAGTTAAACGGTTCAAAATATTCAATGAATACTGTTCATTTTTTAGTATACAGATAGTGACATCTTACTTTTTACTCACAAACATTTACTTTGTCAATCAGATTTGCTTTTGACAAAAAAGATGGCGCTGGTATTTGATATTTGATTTCGTTTATTTATATTTATTTTGTGTTCTTGATAACAACAGTGGCGCCAGCAACTATCACCTGAGAATAAACTGAAAACTGAATAAATCTCAATTTGTTCAATATTTATTTTTTCTTTATAACCGTAGTACTAGATTGTTTCATGTACTTTATTAATCATGATTCTGTTTTTAATGTTTATTGAACTGGCCTTTAATCTAGAGTTTGACCACCTGGAAAAAAAGTAAATTGTTTATATTATTTTGTTAAAATTTGAGTGGGTCTACTATTGTAAAGTCACTTTTTTTATAAATATTCTTGCCAAACTGGAGTTCAGCCTGATGGATGTTACCAAGGATAACACTTCAAACATTTGAAGGTACATTTCGGTAAATTAATGAGATTTACAGTTCATATAAATTAATTTTTTGCCTTTTTTGTCCCCTCTTTCAATTAGGTTAACAGAAATCTCATTTTTGTGTGTGTGTTTTCTATAGTTCAAGTACTCGTTGTTTCATCTGATAAGTCTTCGCTTCCATCTTTATTCATCATCCTTGTAAATCTATGGAATTAGGACTTCGAGTTGTCCGTGGACCGGACTGGAAGTGGGGCCTGCAAGATGGCGGAGTAGGGCATGTTGGAACTGTTGTAGAGATTGGCCACCGCAATTCATCCACTATACCTTTTAAAACGGTTGTAGTTCAATGGGACTCTGGGTCTCGAAGTAATTATAGAGTTGGATATCAAGGGTCATATGATTTAAGGGTGTTAGACAATGCACCTGCCGGTGCATACCATCCAAGAGTTAAATGTGATGAATGTGGATCCGCTGGTATCATTGGTATGAGATGGCAATGTTCAACATGTATTGAATTTGACCTATGTACACCGTGTTACATGAAAGGAGCTCATGACTTGAACCATCCGTTTATCAGGATTGATACGATTTACCATCTCGGGTTGGTTTTTTTTATCTCTTTTTAACCGAAGCAGTGCTATTTACTACAGTTCTCTAGCTCTAATTCAACTTTCTGTCTCTTAGATCTAAATCAATTGAGCTTACAGTTAGTGTTAGCTTTTACTTTTTCGGCTATTATCATTTAATTTATTGATATTGTAGTCTTCGGTTTATCTAGTATTAATTAATCCATCTTACTTTTGCATCTTGCTCCTATCTTCCAAGGTCTTAGCAATCTAGATTTTACACTAGTCTTTTAGATTGAGAATTGGAAATATTTGTTTTTGCTAATGTTTTTTATCTCACCGACTACAGTTTGGAGATGCCAAAGAGGTCCCTTAACAATACAGTGAAAATACAGGCCCGAGGAATATTTAAAGGAGCCCGAGTTGTACGAGGTTACGATTGGGAGTGGGACCTACAAGATGGTAAGTTGATCACAATAAAATTCGTTGTGTGATATGATATGCAGTAGTCAAGTGAGACAGTGAATAAACAGAGAATGAGAGATGAACGAGATCATAGATAAAAAGGTGGAGCCAATGAATGATTATTCCAACACATTTTACTTTTAACTTCAATAGGAGGTGATGGTAAAATTGGTGAAGTGATTGACATTCGGGATTGGGACTCAGCCTCTGGTCGCAGTGTTGCTAGTGTTAAATGGCAAAGATCTTCCAACGTTTATCGTGTCGGTCACAAAGGAAAAGTCGATCTTAAATGTGTTGTAGATGCTGCCGGTGGTTATTATTATAGAGATCATTTGCCAATACTTGGACAAAATTTTGTTGTTTCCGGTCCACCTGAATCTTTAATTGGCGCCGCAGCTACAGCCAGACCTCAAATAGCCTCATCACAACAAAGACAACAGCAACAATCATCCTCTTCATCTTCATCTTCTTCATCCGTCGGAGCGATGGCTAGAAGTTGTCCTTTCAATATTGGTGATAAAGTGAGAGTGGCTGTTTCCACTGTCGACGATCTTAAAACATTACAAAAAGACCACGGAGGATGGAATCCTAGAATGGCTCAATATATAAATAAAGTCGGAATTGTCCACCGAATTACAGATAAACGTGATATAAGAGTTCAATTTGACAAATGCCGAATGCGTTGGACTTTTAACCCCGACGCCTTGGAAAAGTATAGTTGTTTTGCAATTGGTGATCTTGTCAAAGTTATTGATGATGAGGATCTAGTTAAAAAACTACAGCATTATCACGGTGAATATGTACCTGATATGACAAATATACTTGGATCAACTGGTAGAGTTGTTAAAGTTTATACTGACGGTGATCTTAGAGTTAGCTTCGAAGGTAAAACATGGACTCTCAATCCTCAATGCGTTATAAACATATCAGGTTGGTAATTTTTCTCTTTCCTTCTTGATTTAGATGACGACACAATAGTATATTCCATCTATCATAATTATTTTTAACATGACAATTTGAGCTGATTTAGGTAAATCTTTTTCAATCTGTTATTTCTCGCTTCAAGAAAAATTTCGAATAATTAGCCAGCAAAATTTTTCAATACTTCAGCATTAGTTCCTTTCAACGTACATGAGGTTTGAAAAAATCAAAGTTTCTAAACGCGGGTCAAATTTGTTGAAAACATTTCAATTTGCACAAACAATCTTTCAATTTAGTATTTTACAGTTAAACTGGTTCCATCAGTAAATTCATGATTATATTTTCTGTTGGGAACGAACAGCAGCTTTCATGTGATTCAATCGTTTAATCTAATGTTAAACCAGCTCAAATATCATTTTGATGTTTTCTATTAGTTCATGAGTCTCATCGAAGCTTTTGTCTGCGAATTCTATTAATTAGTTCGTATTTGTTTTCACTCAACTTTTATCCTTAAGTTAGTATTTCACGGAAAAATAATGTCAATATATGCTAATAATATATTGATAATGATAATGCATCACCAATTTTAGTGTATCAACGTCAGGGGATCACCTTTTTTATTTGGGTTTTTCCAAGTTTACTTCATCGCTTTAGCTTACCTGACATTTCAATTCAACTTATCAAGTTTATGGCAACAAACGTTTCTGTAAAGCTTTAAAAGCACATTTTACCTCTTAACCGTTTGATTTCCCTTTTTTCTTTAAGAATTTATTCGTTTACAATACACTCCTTTCACTGAAAGATGTTTTATTGGATTCACTTTATTGAAGTCCATCGCTCATATTTAGTCCCAATCAAAACATTAATTGCATAATTATTTTTTTCTCTGCCTCATCCGCATCTATTATTTACTTTAATGTTTGGACAAAGAGTTTTAATTGACTATTGAATTTTTTGTCATTCACGTGAGGTTAAATCATTCTATCATTCACCTTTCATTATAACTTTCATTATTTTCCATTATATTTTCAATAGCAAACATTAACGCCTTCAATTTGCTTTAAACAATAGGCATAATTAGATGATGAGATTGAATACAACACTGATTATGCATAGAGTGTAATCTGAGTTTAATCATCTCTAAATTAGTCAATTTTTTAATTTCAATACAAACACTATCTGTTAGCAATTTGTCACAATCTAGACTTTCCATATCGAGTTCTTGAATCTCGAGATGCTTTCATTAATTAAACAAATCTTAGCAGGCAACTTTAATGTAAAAAGAAATCTAATGATGTCTAATCTTCTGTTGACACTGTTTTCATTTTGTCGCCCTAATTCACTGATTTGGCTCTGCATTGTTCAAAATATCTTTTGTTTAGTTTGTTATTTGCAAATAGTTGAGTTTGAGGTGAACTTAACTATTGATCTTATTCTGGATTCATGTCCACACCACTGTTAATGGGAAAATTGAAACATGAATTTAATACGAATTTGTTTTTTTTCTCTCAACAGAAATGAAAAGAGTTGAACAAGCTAAAGATAAAAAGCCTGATGTTTACACATTAAAAGACTGGCTGAATGAACTAGGAATGTTAGCTGAAAGCTCAAGAGAAATCTATTCAGCTGATAAACAGTCTCTTGAAGGCACGGATCCAGCCAATACATCAACTAGCAGTAATACTAATAACATCAACAACAATAATCCGACTTCGAGCAATTCGTCGACCTCTGATAGTGCAAGTAACCAATTAAATGCAACAAGCGAAGCCAACAATACGGATATTAAATGTTTGATTTGTGATGAAAATTTTGCAAACATTCGCTTCTATCCGTGTACTCATCAAGTTTGTTGCAGCGATTGTAGTGATTGTATCGTTCGGATGAAAAAATGCATTAGCTGTAAACAAGTGATTAAAAAATTATTATACATAGAATCAAGTAATGGACAAATTTACGGAATTGTAGATCATGGAGCTTCATCTTCGAATTCATCATCTAACATGTCATTTGGTCCATTACCATCATCATCAACAACCTCACTGCTCAATAATTTTCAAGCCAAATCTCTCACGATCAAACCTGATGGTGAATTAAATATTTCTGATCCAATTCAAAGGTTACAATACCTTGAAACCAAAATCATGGAGATCGAAGAAGCCAATACATGTGGAATTTGTTTAGAAAGCACTAAAAATGTAATCTTTCTTTGTGGTCATGGTGCATGTGCTAACTGTTCGAGTACCTTATCAATTTGCCATATGTGTCGGAAGACGATAACTAAGAGAATCAACATTTATTAATTCTCTTCTTGCCAGTTCTTTAAACTCTCTGGATCACTATCATTATTTCATTAGTTTATCATTACCAGCATTGTCACCATCATCGTTATGTTCATCAACCAGCTCATCAATGGAAACTATTTCAACCCAACAGCCTTCACTTTTTCATGCCCCTTGCTAATCTAGAAACAAACAAATATCGCTAGTTTGACAGGCAAAGCTAATTGTGATGCGCATTTTGTGTTTTTACAACAAGAAAAAAAGATTAATTCTTTTGATGATCAAATAGTTAGTAATTATGTCCTCAGTCTATGGCAAGGAAATTAGGGATTCCACTTTGACTTAACATTTACAAATGAAACAGATAACAGGCAACTTCCCTAACCCCTCAACTTACCTTGGTTAACTTTTCTGAAATTATTTTCTCTGGATTTTCCTGAGTCATTCCTTAATTTGCTTCATTGATAACAAATTTATCCTTGAAAGCAAAGACCATTAAATTACAATTAGAAACGTCTACGTTCCCTAAACTAACCATATGTTTCTCCATCCCCATGAATCTATCCTTTCTATCCTTGCCATTCTCTATCAATCAGGAATAGTCTTATTGGTTAATATTAACTTTAATTGATCCCAAATTATTTCTCAATCAAATTTTAATTAATTGATTTGTTTACTATTGTATTAGATATGTTTTACTCACATCAACCTTCAATTATCCTCCAATTTCTGTTAATCAATTATTATTTACAATCAATATAATCATGTGACACAGGTTTCTGATGGTCGATCTAAATTTGAATAATTGCTTTTAATTATTCAAATTTGCTCACTATATCATCAACAAAATCAGTAGCCTTAAATTAACAATCAACTTGTAAATCTTATTTTTCCAATCCTATTCAATCAACGATTTCATCTTGAAATTGCTTTCTTTCTCATTGTATGACACAAAATTTTTTCATGCGCATTTAGTTCCAATTATTTGATTTGATTGATGTCTCAATTTGATTTTAATTTGGCTTATTATTTTCACTCTTCTCCCTATTGCTCAAAGGGGTCAATCACTATCTCAATCTATCTAATAACATTGAGTACATCATTTAATTATACTATTATTATTATCATTATTATTATTATTACCTTTACAATTATTGCACTATCAATTCACTCTATTATTTTCAATTGCTGACCCTGTCAATGTTAGTTAATCAAAAATTGCCTGTTGGAGACAAAAATTCAGCATCAATTGTTAATTATGCTGATGCACCTAAAAGTAATGATTAAAAAAATTGTAAATTTCTCCTTCGTCCTCGTCTCCATCTCCATCTTCCTAGGTACATAGACTAATAGCCGATCATGATCATCGTCATATTCATAAGCATAATTATTCGCATTGCGATGGAGAAAACAATTCAAATCGAATTATCATTGATGTTCTCTCACAAATTCAACATTTGATTCGGATAAGGTTCTATTAAATGACTAACGATTGCCATTACCATCCTTTTCTTCCATTTTCCTGAATAAATTTTGAAAGGGATGAATAAATCATACATCATGTTGATAATCATTGCGTCTTCCCTCTTCATTTCTGTTCTCTGGTTAACTTCACATTATGGAACCACCACCATATCAATAATTTTGAGTGCATCTTATATCAATTAAGTAGTATCAATCAATTAGTAGCCAGTCGACTCGAAAATACTCAAACTCAACCAAACCATTAGCTTCTAAACACTTTTAGACCGATAATAAAGACAAATGATTACAAGCGAGATAGATCAAGCGTTAAATTTAATTAAATGTATTGGATGATTATCAATAGTCGATATTTTGATATGCTTGAAAAATAGTAAACAAAATGTTTTGTTCAATTTTTTAGTTAAATAGTGCTGGACTAGATGATTCATGATATGTTTTTAGATTGGCCACGGAAACTGAAGTTGAAAGATTAGAGTTGGAATGGTTTTGATATTTATCGGTTTCCAAACTTCATCACAGGTAACTTCTGTCTTGTCGTTTCCAATCTTTTGAATGTGTTAACCCGTTTGACATTTCTTTGTTAATATAATTTACTAATTTTCATTGAGCCACCAAAAAGCTATAATGGTAACGATTTTTCTCAGAAAAAGAGAATCATGGTTTAGAGATGTAATTTGGTCGATTATTAAAAAGTGTGTTTAAATTTTTCTGCTTTTCTAAATATCGACGTCGCCAGACTTCAGCTATTACCAGCATTATATACATGATGATTACTGAGACATTGCAGATCAGGATATAAAGGATAAATACAAATGGATCAGTTGATATGGCGTTGCCAACAATATAAGGTCCGGACGTTGATAAAATAGTGCTTGAAAAGCTCAAGATAGCGGCAATTGTGCTAGTAACAGTCATTCTTTCCTCGAGGTATGCATAGATGGATGAACCGATTGGAGCGAGTCCAATTGATAGTATTATAGCTCCTGTCCACAGACCAGTAATTGTTGTTCCCGTAAATATTAGAGAAATTACAGCAGCAAGGGTAATTAGAGACGAGATAGATATAATAGTACCAGGTCGAACGTAAATGGAAATGAAAATTGAAACAAATCTTGAAGCCAGTTGAACGAAACCGCACAATGACACTAGATAACTAGCATCAGATTTGGTTATTTTAGTTGGACCTTCAACAGCATAGGTGTGAAGAAAATTGAAAAAATCTAAATCAAGTCCAATTTGAAAATTGACGAGTATGGCAGCAAGAAGGACTATCGTTATATAATAACCTTTAGGCAGTTTTTTGGGCAATAAAAAGGAATCTTCCCTTTTAATTGGGTGTTTCCCAATGTTTTCACGAAATGATGCAGATAATGATGAAGATCTTGAGGCCAGGTCAGGTTCAACTTTGGTCTTTGGTGAATGGTCAGATGATTTTGATTTTTGACTTTCGTAGAAACAAGTGAATATCATTACAAAACCTCCAACAACGACACAAGCGATTCCAAGCACATTGTAAGGAATTTGAATCGATGTAGGAATGTGTTTAGTGATGGTAGTGTTTCCTGTTTCAAATGTTTCATCAGAAGATAGGAAAGGACGAGTGATCAAAGGGGCTAAGATTTGTCCGAGACCCCAAAAACCACCCATTGCTTGCAAATAAGGGTTGGCATTTTCCTTATAAATTTCTAGAAGTATAACATAGGAGGCAATGTCGACACCAGAAGTAGCCAAACCAGCGAGTGAATTAAAAACGATGAAAGTGGTAAATGTTTTTGATGAGGCAGTAAAACAAGTTCCGAGACCAAATAAAGCCAACGATAGAGCATATTGAAACTCTCGACTGAATAATGTAAATGTCCAGCCAACTGAAAAATTGAAAAAGAGTAAAAAAATTAGTGATCTCAAAATTATCTTAATTTATAAACTTTTAAATGTAATTTGATAATAAATCAAAAGGCAACAAGTCTTGAAATATCTGACGAAATGCTCGTAAATCAATTATTGGTGATAAAAATCGCAAAAAGTAAAGTATTTCCTGATTTAGTTGAATAACCTTGATTTGTCTTCAAAGATTGCATCTTAAATGCGGAACAATCACTAGACTGTGTTGGAAGGCATGAGTTAACTACATGATTAAAAAAATGTCAAATTATTGGATAACATTTATATTATATATTCTTGGCTCTTTCAGTAATCTTAATTCAATAGCTTAAAAAGGATAATCTAGCAATAAATGGGTTAGAAGAGAGAAAGTCTAGCTTTTCAATGTCGAATAACTTGTGTAATGGAAGGAAAATAATGTCAAATAAGCATGGAAAAGTTATTGGATTATAAGATGTGGAAAAAATACCCATATTAATGACATCGTAATAATTATAGTCACTTTTGAGATTATGATGCTTGAAGGGAATAAAAAATTGTAAAATAAATGTCTGAGCTCTTATCCGAGGTTGTCTCAAATTAGTCTGAAATTATTCCATGAATAGTCTAGTTGATAACTGATAGTTCATGCACTGAACTAAATTCAAGTTGAAATAAGAAAATATTATATAATAATAGTAACATTTCACTCGAGGGATCAAGTGCTTCTTTTGAAATAAAATATCAAAGAGTAAGAGCAAATACGATTCTTAAAAATGCAATGCCCAGAAAACTAGGCTCTTGAAAATCTTGTCTTTGTTCGAAGAAAATTTGATCATGATCTAATCTTAATTGTCCCTGATTTTTGATTCTGATTGAGGCAAAGTTTGTTGTTAAAAGGTTAAAGTTCACAGAACAATGGATAAAAAAACTGGTAGCAATGAATACAGGTTGAAACAAAAAGAAAACCTTGTTGAAAATAAACAACAATGATGATAATAAGACAAAACAATGTGTTTACTTCAAAATAGTAGCTTGGTTGGCACACTTAAGAAATCTTCGAGATAAATCATCATTTAGATTGTTTATTTTCCACATTGCCAATTGGCACAATTAAACAAATGAACAGGATCTATTATAGGAAGTCTACGAAAAACGGCTTTCAACTCACATAATGGAGCTCCAATGCAGTGGAAAACGGCTCGAGATAGAAGTCCATATGAAACAGTTGATACATCCGTTTGTAGAATCTCGGTGAGATCAATTATAGTTGTATTCATGAGAGAAGTAGCAATGCCCTGAAATTACATGGAAAAAATGAAACAATAAATCAAGAATTAAATGCTTGTCAAATGAAAAGATGAAGAAAAAATAGTCAATGGTTTACTTACATAAACAAAATATACCAGCCAAACAATGGCAGTGGCAATTTTTTCATATTTTGACAATTTTACCATCACTTGTTAGCTGAAACAAACCAAACTTAAAATGAGGATGTTGAGATTATAACTTTTAGTTTGATTTACGAGAAGCTGTTGGTAAACAGCTTAAATAAACCAGATCAGTCGATGAAAAACTATCCACATGGAACTGCAACAAAACCAAAGATAAAATGAGTATGGAAGGCGAATGAAGCTTGTTCACTGGTGATAATATTTTGCAATTTTCATTGTAAATTAATAACAAGCAGTCACTTACACTAATTGTTGGTAAAATTTAAACGTAATTATGATTTTGATAAAACAACAACAAACGAGAATAAAAATGCGAGAAACATAGGAAACAGAAGAAATAAAAAGAGAGAATATGAAAAAGGTTAACTTTATCGTCTGATTATCGGAACAGGGTTTGATTATAGTTGTGTGATTTAAATTGTATAACATCCACCTTGAAAAAGAGTACACTGGTAACAAGATAATGCTAAATTGATAACTGGAGAGAAAATTAAAACAATATAATTGAGATCTAATACATTAAACAAGTGAATAGAGAAAAAGAAGAGCAGATTTGAAATTTTCTCAACATTACCCATTAATCATTGCAAGTAAAAAGAGAGACTGGTTATTGGGAAAAAAAAGTTTGGGTATTCAGTAAGAAAGTGAAGAAGCTTGTTTCGAGTACTTTTAGGTAAAGAAAAGGAGAAACCACGTGGTAATATGAAATATTACATATCAGACGATAGATGAAAAGAGTGGATATGTTGACCATTCGGTTAGCACTCAATGAGGATATCAGACCATTTGAAAAGAGACACAAGAAAGTGGGACAAAACGCTCTGAAAAAAAGGGATGTTCAACTTTTATAACCATCTATAGTTTGCTCATTCAAATGTAATTCACTGATCTAATTAATCATGTTTTTTCTTCTATGATTGCTGTTTATTTCACTTCAAGTTTAGGGCAGTCCAATTTTTCTGGTTTATCTGGCAAGCTTGGTAATGGCGGGCGGTCAACAATCTGTTCATCAATATCAAGACTTTCAACACATAACTGCTCTTGTCTGATTAAAATTCATTATCCTAAACCTGTACCTACATGGTGCTATCGAAGTGAACATAGAGTATGTCATGATTAGTTAATAAGCAATTGAAGGTTGAGGACAAACCCTGAATCAATTGAGCTTCAAAGGAATCATTTCTATCATTAGTATCTTTTTACCCCTTTTCAAGTCTACCATAAGGAAATGAAGCTAATAATTTGATGGTGTTGTGATGATGACGGTGATTTTGATTGATTAAAATGATCCATTAACATGAATATTAAATGACCTAAATGTATCTATAAATTATTTAGTAAAATTAGAACAGATTGAATAATTGAAATTAAACAATAACTTCTAATGTTTGATGTTTGGATAATGTCCTAAAGGTATTAATCTAAATTGATGAAAGCTCATCAAAAATATTATTGAATCCTGTTTTATCCAATCAAAATATTTGATTAATAGGTAATTAAAAATATCGAAGGCTAATCCAGTGCAACTATGAATCAAAATGTTGATAAAAGTCATCGTAAAATCAAGTGTTAATATTTTATGGATGAACACTGATGAGATACAGTTTTTAATTATTTAGTTAAACAATGTTGTAAAGTAAAATCATTAAATTGTTTTATTATCAATCAACAGGTGTGAATCAAAGGTTAAAAGATCAACAGCCTCTGTTGATTGTAATGATTTGCATTTGGAAAATTTGGTAAAAGCATAAATCAAATTGTACACTAAATTAAACTACAAATTAAACAGACAACTGACAAGCTCAAATTACAGCGGTTCAATGGTAATGGATAATTATTGGTATTACAAAGGGATTTATTCAAAAGCCCACAAGTCGCAATCAAAATGTTTAACAAACATGGTAATTACTTAGATACTTATCTATGGACTGTTTTCTTGTTTGCAATTATCTTTCCAGTGATAATCAAATGTGAAGGGGATCCTGATGAGTTTGTGCCTCCATTGATTTACATTCAATCTCGGGGTTACATAGGTGAATCTCATTACATAACAACTGAAGATGGTTACATATTGCAAGCTCATCGGATAATATCACCGAAATATGTTCATGTACCAAAGAAAGTTGTCCTCGTCCAACATGGCCTTCTATTGTCTTCAATGGTTTTCCTGGTGAATTCACCCGGAGGAGGAGAGTACTTTCACGGTCCGATAGAAGATAAAGATCCAGTAAACCATTATCGAGATCGACATCCTGAAGTTGGTAACAATTTAGGGTTTCTATTGGCTGACCATGGATACGATGTTTGGATGCCCAATTCAAGAGGAAATACTTATTCAACAAACCACACGAAAATGAGTCCATTTAAGGGTAAATGATGTAAAACGATAAATTAACTGTCATACATTTACGGTAAATTAATTTGATGATTTGATTTATCCTTTCAGATAAAAAATATTGGAACTTCTCCTATGATGAAATGGCTTTTAAAGACCTTCCAGCGTCAATAAGTTATATTCAATACAAAACTGGACAATCTGAAATAGCGTATATCGGGCATTCTCAAGGCACCACAATAGCTTTTATGTTACTATCAGAGCGACCAGAATATGCTTCGATTTTGAAGCCTCTAATCATGTTGGCTCCGATAATGAATTTAACGACAACTAAAGATGGATTGAAACATATACTAACAGATGAAGAGTTGATGAAAGATTTGCTCGCAGTTGGTGGACCTTTCCTTCCTCATGCTTCTTTACTGGAACTCTTTCCAGAAGTTGTTTGTGCCACAAAACTTCATTTCATATGTACAAATGTTCTTCAAATAATGGGCGGACTCAATGTGGCACAATTGAACATTACTCGACTGCCAGTTTACTTTTCATACATTCCAGCAGGAACATCAGCACAAAATGTTGTCCACTATAAGCAAATGATAACGAAAAGGACACAATTTTTCGACTTTGGTCCAGAGAAGAATATGGCCAAGTACGGACGATCAGAACCACCAGATTTCCGCTTTGATAGGATGGATACAAGTAACATGGTCATGTTTTGGAGCGAAAATGACTTGTTTTGTGGAGCAGAAGAAATGGACGCTGTCAGACGAACTCTAAGACGTAAGCAATAATAATTCATTAAACTCAGACATTGTTAATAGATAGACTTTAGTAAAGTCTAGCAAGGTCTAGGAAAGCGAAAAACTTAACATAATTGAATCTAACTCAGAATGTGTTTTGCAACGTATTATAACTTCACAACTTATCATCCGTCAACCGGTTAAGATTGTAAGATAACAGCAATCAACTAAATCTGACTTGAAGCTGAGAGCTTGGAATTAAATACACGAGTTTTTCTTGATAATCCAATCTTCAATTCCAATTGAAAATTAGAGAATTCTGAGAAATATTTAGCAAAAAAAATTAGTTAATGTGCGATAACTGAAGGTACTTATCTGTTGGACAGCAAGAAGTTATTTGTATGTTACATCAGGTGAAAATAGCAATAGTTAAAATAGCCTTTCAAGAAATAACTTTTTTGAATTATAAACAGCAATTTAACGAACTTATTGACTTTTAGGTCCGCTTATGGCTGAATATAGAGTTCCTGATCCTCTATGGTCTCACATGGACTTTCTCTTTGGACGTCAAGTTGGACGTTTTGTTCATGGACCGGTATTAGGCATCTTGAAACGTTATCCAATTGTCTGGTTGCCTGGTCGAGCTCCTCAAAATAGCCGAACCTTCTCTGGTCATTCTAATCCACCAACAGCTAGTCATCCACTTCCTCCTGGTAAACATTTTGATCGGGTAAGGATATACTGAAACATCGCCTAATTTTGTTTCCAAGTTCAGTAATTTCAACGAAAGCTAAGGCTAACTGAATAAATTAAAGCTTAAATAAAATCAATTAGCTTAAATTGGTGGATCATTGATCAATGCAGTAATTTTCAATGAGACAAATGTGCAATAAAATCTATGGATCGTCCTTTTCCTTCCCTATTAAACAAAAGGTCATCAAGAATAATCACGGAAGTTCTTAATACTTATTGAAATTATAACAATAAGATTTTGTGAATTTTATTTTCATAATTTTGCACTTGCTAAGCCATTAAAATTGCTTTAATAACTTAAAGAAAGTGTATTTACAGTTTAACCTCTCATAATTAGATAATTTTTTAATTTAAAGAGTATCTAAAGAGTTGCAGAGGTGGAATCACTACGCTCCGCTCTATCACGCTCTGTGGTTTTATCGTTGACTAAAAAAGTGGGTTGATTATAAGGACCATAAAGATTCATAGCGATTAGTTTTTTCAGAATCAATTCCTTGTTCTCATTGATCTCGTACGGTCCGTTGAACCAAACTTGATTTTTGACATCAGAGTTGAAGTCAGTGGTGTTCAATTGAAATGTGCAAAACCCAACTGAGTTTTTTGAAAGATTAGTAAAAACCGAGTTGACTAATATTGGTTTTTCCAAAATTTGATAATTAATCCTGTCTTCATGATCATTCCAATTGCCATGTTTGAGTCGGAATTGCGCAGCACCATATCCATAGCAAAACATCAAGGCTCTAACAGACAAATAAAGCGAAGTCAAATAAAAATAATTGCATAAGGAAATAAAATATGTATTCAAACTTACTTTGCTTTCGCAAAACGATCCACAAACTTTTTGATTCTAAATCTGGAATCGGTTAAATAGATTGTGTGAACTTGGTCTTTCGGAGGTAAACTCCACGCAAAATCTGTTGAATACCAATGAGTTTTATCGAAACAAATTTCCCAATTGCAAGGATGTATCGATATCAGCTTTTTATCTAAAGTCTTGCTTGGTTCTTCATAACACTCACTTTTGTTGAAAATTGGAGTGAGATAATTGTCCGATGATTTTTGAACTAATGTAACAAAATCACATGATAAATCTAAAGTTATCAGCTGACTATCTCGAACAAAAGGTACTAAAACGGTTGGATAATTAAGTCTTCGTCTATCAATTAAATGATGATATTTGTTGATCCATAACTGAGAAACATCATAAAAACTATTTAAAACATTTCCTTCGGTTCGACTCACTGGAGTTCCAAATCCAAATCTCGGCTTAATATCAAGCCTTGGCCATTTTCGCACTTTACGAGTTTTTGTCAAGAGACAATCATCTTCATAAGCAAATTGTAATCGCTTTTCTAACAGACTTATAAATTTATCCTCAATGGAAATATTATCTTCCAAAGAAGAGATACAACTTGGTAAATTGTCTTCTCCTTCCATAACAGTATTGGAGAAATTCATCGCTCCTTTGAAGCCTTCATATATGGTTGTACTTCTATTGAAATGATGGGCCATTATGGGTTTATATGCAGGGTCATCGGGTGATCCTATGAGCAAAACGAAAAGATAGCAAAAATTTAATGCTTTCAACTGATTTTGCAGCGTTTAGTAATAAAACCCTGTACTCACCTTTCTCATATTTTTTTTCGTAAGGCCAAATCTCAGGATGGATCCATTTTTCACGATGCTCAGTTACAAATTCATTTGCGTCTACAGCGGAATATCCAGACGCGATTGGAACTGGAATCTCTTCAACGGTAACCTTACTTTTCCAGAAAAATGTTCTTCGCCATTGTCGAAACCATCCTGGGTTGAACCTTGGCTCTCTGTCCCATTTTTTATGGACAAATATATATTTTGGATGCTTGAAACCCCTGGAAGCTACATTAAATCTCATAATTGTAAACAATAATAAAGCAGGCGAAATAAACTAAAGACACTTATTGCATGAAATTTTAATCAAAACATACACATTTTTAAGCGATAGTATCGAAAATTCCTAGTGAGAGTATCGATACTCACTGATATGAAAGAAGCAAAGGCTGACTTATTTGTAAACATTGATTACTCTTGCAAACAGTGACTGAGAGAGTCCCCGACATAAGTTTTAATAGGTTAATTATTCTAGTTTAATTGATCGGATCAAATTCTGTACCTGGCCATGGAGGTGAGTTTTTTCTGCCTTCTCATTCATTCAACTAATGTGATTTTTTGTCAAATTTCAGACAACATCTGGCGCTGATCAACCTTTTTATCTTAATGATGCTGAAACTGTTACTAGTGACCATTTGAGATCAAGTGATATGCGTTCTTTAGGAGATAATGTCAAGGTAATTCTTATTATTCAAGTTGAATTTTGATAATTTTACTTTTTATTATTAATTCTTAAACGTTTCTTCTTCACTAGCTATTAGCAGTTATAGAGAACTTGGGTTCTGATTTGGTTTCTAAGAGTGAAAACGCCTACAAAAAAATTGATGAAATTGATTGGGAATCCGAGGTAATTTTACTTAGTCAGATAACTTTGACTCGGAAGATAACATTACCTACTTTATCTGTCTATGTTGTAGGTTAAATCTGTAGCTGTAAAAAATCTCATAAATGAATTTCAAATGTTGGCTGACTCGCAATTCATTGAAAATCGAATCTATGATGAGGACACTATCGATGTACATGGTGAAATTTCCGAGAATCCTAATGCAGATTCAAGTGATAATAACAAGAGTTCTCCTGATCAAAAGATCTTGCCAATTATCCATGAATGTATTTCAAACAGCTTACAGTTTATAGATGAAAAATTTGATCTTCCAAGTACACAGACCAGACAACAGAATGAATCAGACGAAGAAGAAGATTACGTGAAAGAGGCTCTTGCAAAAGCATATGAAAACAATCCATTCAACAAAACACCTTTACCTTCAATTATCGGGAGCAAAGAATTCTTCAATCAACCATTATTCAATGAAGGAGGAAATCAAACAACAGAAACAAATCCCGAATATTACTCTGAACCTTCTGATAAATTTTCTGATGATAATGGTGAACTAGAAAGCCAAGACAGTGATGAAGAAGAACAGAATCTGTTCACTACGATAAATGATTCAATCGTAAATTATCCATTAAACTCTTCAAGTCTGCAAACAGAAAAGAAATTGGCCGGGAAAGATGAGGTGGGCATTCTTAACGGTTCAAAATTTTCCGGTGGACAGAAGGCTGAAACTGAACGCAAGGCCATAGAAAAAAAGCCTGAGTCTTTAATGGATGAATTTTCTGATGATGATGACGAAGACGATGATGATTTGTTTACAACTGCTTCATCAAAAGTTCGGACACCGATTGACAAAATAAGACATAACGTGCAAAATACAAAAGAAGAAAAAGCTGATGAAGAATCGAAAGATACGAAAGTTTCAATTAAAAAACCATCCTCAAATGCTTCCGAACCAATCAAATCGGTGCGAAACAGCAGCGCTCGAGCAGAAAGTGATGACTCTTCGGATGATTCTTTATTTAATGACTTTAAATCAAAGCTGTCAAAGATGTTGACCAATAAGCCAACGGATGATAAAAGTGATTCCAAAAGAGTTTCGCGAGAAATTCGCCCCCCTTCAATTTCATCAACCTCGAGTAAGGATGCTACTGCGAGAGCATCTACAGTGCAGTCTCACAATAATTCATCTGAGAAAAATTTGTTTAGCGAAACTAGCGATGATGAAAAGGACGATCTCTTTGAGATTAAGAATAAATCAATTGCGCCCTCTCTAGTGAAGAAGATTTCTGATGATGATGACGATGACGATGATGATTTGTTTGCAACTGTCTCTTCAAAAGTTGGGTCACCGATTGAAAAAATAAGCCATAACGTGAAAAATACTAAAGAAGAAAAAGCTGATGAAGAATCGAAAGTTATGGAAGTTGCAAATAATATTCCATCCACTAATGCTTCCGAACCAATCAAATCGGTGCTAAACAACAGCACTCGAACAGAAAGTGATGACTCTTCAGATGATTCTTTATTTAATGACTTTAAATCAAAGCTTTCAAAGATTTTGACCAATAAACCAACAAATGACAAAAGTGATTTTAGAAGAGTGTCGAAAGTAATTCGTCCCCCTTCAACTTCATCAACCCCAAGTAAGGATTATGCTGCGAGAGCATCTACAGTGCAATCTCACAATAATTCATCCGAGAAAAATCTGTTTAGCGAAACTAGCGATGATGAAAAGGACAATTTCTTTGAGAATAAAAATAAATCAATTGCATCCTCTATAGTAAAGAAGATTCCTGACGACGATGACGATGACGATGATGATTTGTTTACAACTGCTTCACCGAAAGTTCGGCCACCGATTCCTAAAATAAGAAATAACGTGAAAAATACTAAAGAAGAAAAAGAAGATGAAAATTCGAAAGTCATGAAAGATCCTCTTGCTATTCAATCTATAGAGACTTCTGAGCAAATCAAATCAGCTGTCAATGCTGCTTCCATTACACTCGATGATAATGACGGAGACGATGATGATTTGTTTAAAACTGTTTCAGTAAATGTTCGACCACCGACTCCTAAAAAAAGACATAATGTGAAAAATACAAAAGAAGAAATAGCTGATGAAGCAAAAGTTATGAAAGTTCCTCTTGATATTCAATCTATAAAGGCTTCTGAGCAAATTAAACCAGCTCTCAATGCGGCTTCCATTACACTCGATGATAGCGACGATGACGATGATGATTTGTTTAAAACTGTTTCACCGAAAGTTTGGCCACCGATTCCCAAAAAAAGACATAATGTGAAAAATAATGAAGAAAAAGCTGACGAAGAATCGAAAGTTATGAAAGTTCCTCTCGATATTCAATCTATAAAGACTTCTGAGCAAATTAAATCAGCTGTCAATGCTGCTTCCAGTAGACTCGATGATAGTGACGAGGACGATGATGATTTGTTTAAAACTGTTTCAGTAAATGTTCGACCACCGACTCCTAAGAAAAGACATAATGTGAAAAATACTAAGGAAGAAAAAGCTGATGAAGAATCGCAAGTTATGGAAGTTGCAATTAATGTTCCATCCTCTAATGCTTCCGAGCCAATCAAATCGGTGCTAAACAGCAGCACTCGAACAGAAAGTGATGACTCTTCAGATGATTCCTTATTTAATGACTTCAAATCTAAATTTTCAAAGATGTTGATCAATAAACCAACAAGTGCTAAGAGTGATTTTGAAAGAGAAACGCCAGTAATTCGTCCCCCTTCAACTTCATCAACCTCTAGCAAGGATTATGCGGTGAAAAAGTCTACAGTGCAATCTCACAATATTTTATCTGAGAAAAATTTGTTTAGCGAAACTAGCGATGATGAAATAGACGATCTCTTTGAGATTAAAAATAAATCGATTGCACCCTCTATAATTAAGAAGTTTCCTGACGACGATGACGAGGACGATGATGATTTGTTTAAAACTGTTTCACCAAAAGTTCGCCCACCGATTCCCAAAATAAGACATAATGTGAAAAATGCAAAAGAAGATAAAGCTGATGAAGAATCGAAAGTTATGAAAGTTCCTCTCAATATCCAATCTACAAAGACTTCCGAGCAAATTAAATCAGCTGTCAATGCTGCTTCCAGTACACTCGATGAAGATGACGAGGACGATGATGATTTGTTTACAACTGCTTTTGCTAAAATTCGGAGACCAAATTCCTAATTAAACCATAAAGTGAAAAGTACAAAAGATGAAAAAGCTGATGAAGAATCGAAAGTTATGAAAGTTCCTCTTGATGAATGATGATGATTGTAGATGATGCCATTTGCGAAATACTGAAAATCAAAGTTTTCAGTCTAATGGCCGGAATCGTGAGAACTGTTGATTGATGGATAAAATTATTTGATCCGTGATGTGTGGCAACAATTCTATGCACAAAATAAAACTTTCAGCTCTCTAACTCTCAAGATTATAGAAAGCGATCGGTTTAACTGAAAATCGAACTTTTCTGATTTTCAAAAGACAAAAAATTCGATTCCTCAAAATAAGGGGATTTTCTGGTTGTCAATTGAAATTTGCTTTAATAGCTTGGCAAAAGGCGATTGAAGTTGTAACTTTGAACTTGATTTTCCAGAAAACTGTCCATCGGATGAACTATTTCATAATACAAACGGGCTTAGTTTTTACGTCCTTAACAACTAACAGAGCCTTAATTTGAAAGAAATTAATTTTTATCTGTTTTGCCCATTTGTGTCAATTTGTGTCAATTTTTGTTTTAATGTGATTGTTTTCATTGTCTCTTTTTACAACCGTAAAACAATATTATTGACAATGCAATTGTGGTATTTGTAAAACTCATGTCAAATGAATTAAGGTTAAGCATTACAAATTTTGAATAAAAGTCTTGAATTTAATTCTCGCATTATAAATTAGCATCAAGATTGTCATACAATTAGCATTTCCCTCTAGCGAAATCCAAATCACCAGTTTTCTGTTCACTTTTTGAATCGATCCAAATAAACTTATTCTCGTTGCTCGTAAAGCTGGTGACTTAAAGTTGAGTCATCAAATATGCATCGTTTTCCTTTCACTTCTCAGCAACTAATAAAATTATAAAAGTGATTATAAAGATATCAACTAATAGTTTACCTTTTGATTAGAGTCGGTCAAAGAAACCGCTGATATTAAATAAATTTTGAGATCAAATGTTTATTATTTTATTGTAAACACATCGCAGTGTTTATTATAAATTTAATTGCCTTTAATTAGATATGCAACAAACTGGAAACTTGAATCAAGCAGATTCATCTAACCCAGATGAACCAGTTGAACGGTATTTGCAAACATACAAAAGAAACAGGCACAAGGAAACCAACGAAATAGCTCCAACAACAATTAAAGGTCCAGCAATGAATTCATCTAAAGCATCTTTCGCCGATGCCTTTGTCCTAACTGGACTAACGGTAGTTTCATCTGATATTAAAGTTGTAGTTTCACGATTAATCTCTTCAGCTTCTTCATCACTTGGATCGATTGTTGGTTTTAAAGTAGTCGATGTTTCTGGTGTTTCTGGTAACACTGAACTCGTTGTTGAATCACTTTCAATCTGTCTAACAACTCTGTTAGCAAAGCCTAAATGTATTCCAATTTTACCACTAAAGTCTAAAAAATAACAAAATTAAAGGTTAAATTAATGATTTCAATTTAGATTTACATTTAGTTAATTACAAAAACAAACAAAACAATAAAACTGAAGACTTTTGTTTTGCGGTAAACTGAAAATGGGTAAACCGATAGATGGCGTTACATGCTCTTGATTAAATTGTTGATTGAAAATTGAAGTAATTGCTATTAGAGATTGATGATTGATTGTAATTGATGGATGCTTTTTAAAATGCACTTGTTATTAGCTTAAGTAAGATAATAAATCAAAAATTGAATCACAATTTGCTGATTAGATTCCATTAAAATGAATAATCATCATCGATGTAAATCCATTTTCAATCCTTTTGGCTTTAACATTGAACATTGACTTATTATCTGGTACAAAATGATCAATGACTGATATATGTTGATGAGAAGCAAAAAGGTGAACCTACCTCGATCATGTTGCTGATGATTGAACATATTTTTAAGCTCATTTGCTGAAACAATTTGCAAGTAAAATGACGAGAGAAACAATGAAAGGCACATCATTGGATTGATAACAACCATTGTGTTAACCAAATAACCGAGTAAACAGAGTAAAAAAAAGGGAAAAGAAAAGTTTAACTAATGTAAAAAGTCAACAATTGGACGATGTAACTGAAGTAAAACAATAGACTGTGATTAAGTTTCAGAAAAGATTGTTCATTATTTACATGAAGAAGGAAAGAAAGTCTGAAAATTTTGAGGCAAAAAAAGTGAAACAAAAATGGAGTAAAGGAAGTGATGAGGATGATAAAGATGAGGTTTATTTTTGGCAAACATGAAAATTGAATGAAAGGCTCATCTCTTAAAAACAACCCAAATCTCGCTTCTATTTCTCTTGGAACAAACTTCGAAAACAAAACTTCAATTTTTGGTAAACATCCAAATTCTTGATCAATGTTTACCATTTCATTACCTTCATGACTTGAATCGCATTTCAATAGATCTTAAAAATTGAAACGCAAAAGAAAAGAGTTGAACAAAAGGAGAAAAGTTGAAAATTGAAATTGATGAGCAGCTCATGTTGATCACATCAACCAATGGTTAACATTAATTAATAAACTCATCTGTTGTTTACTTAAACATTAGGTGATGAGTGAAGATGATTATTTAGAAGAAGAAGAAGATAAAAAGTGTTTATTAATTGATGAGATGAACATTAATGGCAAGTTAACAGCATTAATGTGGTGAAGAGGCAAGGAAAAGGCAAAAAATGATTTCCATTGAATCATTGACCAAATAAGATGAAGAACCCATTTTTACCATAATTATTATCAATTTACCTTTTCGTTTTTTTTCTCGTTACCTTGTTATTAATGCTATTAACAAGGAGATAATCATGATGATCATCTTAAAGATTGTTGACAGAGCACCAAAAGGCTACTGCAAAAGACATGGATAATGTTGTATTAACATTGAGATTGAGTGACAAATCAACAATGGGAAGCAACACTTTAACTATTAACATCATTTAAACTGAAGGAAACTATTACCATTAAATCATCATTAACCCTGCTAAGGGCTAAGGTATCAACGGAAAAACCCTTTTTTTCCAATGAACATCATGATAATGAGGGGAACTTGAAGCAACAGGAACAATTGAAAGATTCTGTTGCTTCATCTTCCTTCAAACACTTGTATCAATATCATCATCATCATCATCTTCTCTGTCATCCAAGCAAGTTACTCTTCTCTTCTTTTTTCAACTCATCTTCAGAACATCTTGATGATTCCTGAAATTCCTTGAGAATCCCTCAGGTTTCTTTCATTCTTTTCACATTTTTTCTTCTTCTCTTCGCCTTCCTTTTCCAATTACCCTGTTACTTTAATGAATAAGCAAACCATTAAAAAGATGAATTCAACTCTTACCTTCAATCATACAACACAAACCCAATTGTCAATCCAATGTTAACCAATTGACAAATGATTATCATCCAATCATCAATCAGATCAACATTTAATTTAAACGACAAAAAGTAGAATCTCAATGAAAGACCATTTTATAGTTCATTTCATGACCACTTTAACCAGTCAACATTTGGAACATAAATTTTGTAAAATTCCAACCAATCGAAATTGGAATTTGAAAAACGCATGAATTTTAGAAATGAAATTTTCTATAAAAAAGTTTCATTTTATAGAAAGGAAAAGGTTGAAATAATAATAAAAAATGATAAAAAGTGACTTTTTATTGGAAAGTGAAATGTTGTAAAATTTAATCTTAAACAGGGATTGGTTCAGGGATGGAGATGCGCTTTAAAAAATATCATCTTCTGATGATAGTTGACTGTAAACTTTAAATGACTGAGCAGCCTCTGGAAATGGGGAGAAATGATGATCGAAATGATGATCAGGATGAAAGGGAGCAAATTTTATAAAAAAAGCAATTTTAAGTTTACTTTTTATTTTGTCATTTTCATTGAAAACTCAAACAAAGCAACTTTAAACTTTTACTTTGTGTTGAAGCCAAACTTGGATTAAAGTGATTTCACCTTTTCTGTTCAATTTGGATTTTCTTCTTCAATTTGTGATTGTTTCAGTTCTTACTCAATTTATCTGGAATAATTCATTTTCAATTTAATCATCTAAACTCGATTAGTTCGCAATATTGATGAAACTCTTCTTTTCTCAGAAAAACTTAATCATGGATAATGTTGAAACAAAAGGAAACGGAAAAAGGAAATGAATTGTCAATGAGAATCTGAAAATGATGAAAAAAAATGAAAATTATCATGAAATGATTATTCATTTTTTTCTTCTTCTCCTTCTCTTGATATTCATCAGTTAATTACAATTCCTTTAGTTTTTTTTCTTCTTTCAAGAAATCAAAGCAATCTTCAGTTTCATTAGGATTTAATATGAAAGTTTGAAAGATAAATGTTCATTCATTTGTTCATATTCACTGCTGCCTGAGGTTAAAGTGAAAATGGAATTACATTTTTCTTCCATTCATTTCAGCAAACAAAAGCATCGAGTAAAATAATTAGTCAAATACCAAGAATTTAATTCAATTTCAGTGGAATGAGTTTCGATGAGATTTATCGTTAATTAACATTTCTCCTTTCTAAATGAAAAGACAATAGTTTGACAATTGTTCAGTTGATTCATCATAATGTTCATTTATAATTTATGTCAGAATTGTTAACACAGTTGAGAGAAAAGATTTGCATCATTTAAGAAGCAATTCAGAGCTTTTTGCCGTTTCTGTTTTTCATGGTTATGATGAGAAGTTTGATGAAAATGAAGATTATAAGATTAAGTAAAGTGTATGTTTTTCCAATGAGAATCATGATGATGATGAGAGTAGAGTGTTGATTATCTAATAATAAAAGTGAATAAATGAAGTTAGACAAATGATTTGTTGGATGAAATTAGTAATGACTGGAATCGTGATTAGCATCAATACTTATTTAATGTTTATCAGTAAATCTCTTCAACTTTTGCCTTTTCCTCCCAAAAAATAAAAGCCTGTCAACACCTATTTTTATCAGTTTTTTTTGTCTTTTCATTTATTCCGTAATTAACTTGAATTAATCATTGATCAGAAACACCCGAATATCGATGATCTCTTTCTCCCATTTTGTCCAGGTTAATTAACTTCAAAAGTTGCGAGTTCTTTCGTTAAATTTTCATCATCCATTTGAAATGTTTTCCAACATTGAAGGGAGTGAAATGTAATGATGATAATAGTTTGAAGCTAATGATATTTGCTTTTCATTTCCAGTTTACTTGTTAAATGAACTTGTTACATGAATAAGTTGATAGTCTTTTGAAAGGTTGAACAAGATATGCTACTTAGGAGAAAACTTTGCAGCAAACTTTTTCTTTTCCATTAATAATGAATTGAAAAAATTCCGAAAAATGAGAGAAGAGGAAAGTTGCTTGAAACACTATTTTTACCTACAATAATCGGTGAATCGTGTTTTTCTCACCTTTATAATTGGAAAGAGAAAAGTAAAAGAATGCGAAAGAGAAGAGATTTTAGGAAACAGGGAAAAGTGAAAGGTAAAGTTGAAGGTAAAAATCGCTCAATCCAAATTGAACAAGGTAACGAGATTAACTTTAACAAAATGTTGTTCAATTTATATGGTAAAAACAGAAAGTATATTTACTGTTATTTTCATCAGCAAAAAGTCTCATAAGCAATCAGATGAACTAATCATTTCTAGTGTAAACTAAATTTAATGATTAAACATCAACAAATTGTTTCCAGGATCAAGTTGATCGAAAAAGGCAGCAATTCTGTCGATGAATTTTCTCACATTTTGGACATTCATTTTTATTCGTCAAAATCCCTTTCATTTCATTGTTTGAAGTCTGGAATCAGTCAGGGAATGTTTGAAAAGCTTTTCAATTAATTCCATTTTCCGTTCAAGACACAAATTTGACACAAATTTGTCGAAAATTTGAAAAAGATTTTCCAGAAATTCGAGAGCTCGATTTACTTTCATTTCATAAATTTGATAATCTTTTGTTCGTACAGGTGATGACAATAATCATGAGCAAGGAATGAGTTCTCACTGTTTCATCATTAATGTGTTTTGAATAAGCTTTTGGACGATTTTAATTCTCGAATTGAAACACAAATTTGCTGAATATTTGAAATCGATTTTTCTGTTTATTAAAATGGCAAAATTTCGATTCAGTCTCGTCAAGTTTGATAATCTTTAGTTCACTTTAAGTTGAGAATCTGGGAAGTTCATTAAAATATTGATAATCAAAGAATAACTTTCATTGTTTCTTCGCAAACTCGTCTTGAATTAGTCGATTGAACGTTAAGAAAGCTTTGAAACGCTTTTTATTTCCGACTCAAACCCACAAATCCAACAAAACGTTGGATTGTGGAAATGTTCCTAAAACTTTCTTCGACTTCTTTTCTAAAGTTGATCGAGAAAACGTGAATGAAATTGCAAAGTTATCGTAATTTAAGTCGATTTATTGCTCTTTACGACATTCAGGCTTAAAGTTTACTGATATGAATTAGAATTCTGAATTTCTTCAGCAAAACTTTACTCTATTTCGATGTCAATTTTGCCCTGAAAACAATATCATTCCATATTGACTCAAGGAAATTTTCATGTTTTTTCTCTTCTTTTTTTCTTATCCGTTTTACCTGATAACTTAGCTTTTTTATGCTCAATTCCAAGTTTGATCCCTTAATTCATTAATATCTAAATCTTTATTGATTATTAATAAACTAAGCGAAAGGAAATGCGAACTAAAAACAAATCAAAACTAAGCTTCTTAACAGTCAAAAGTAAAAACTGGAGTTATATTAAAAGTGTTATTCTTATTTCTCAAATAATGGCATTGGTTCAGGGAACGAAGGAAAATGTAATGATGAAAGTTGAACCTTTCATGATAAAGATGAATGATTGAATGAGTGAAAAGAGGGGAGAAAATATATTAGATTGAGTTGGAAAAAAAGGTAAAGATTAATTTCTGAATAATATTTACTTATCCAAAATAGAAGAGGAGGAAGAAGAAGAAGAGAGAAAAAAATGAGAGAATTCATGAAAGAATAAATGGATGATGGAAATGATGAAAGAGTGGAAGATGAAAAATATTTGGAATTAAAGATCGCCGGATAAATCTATTTCAGTAATGAAGCGTTCTCTCCTCAAGAAATCATGTATAATTAGATCGATAGTTTTTCTTCAACAAATTCATAGTTGGTCAAGCAAGAAATAAATAAAAAGGCAAACAAAATGAAAATGCGAAAGAGCAAAAAGACAGATTCTTTTTGGTCTATAGTTCGATTCAAAAGTATTTCTTTCTTTTTTGGGTTCCAATTCATGTTTTTTCTTCTTCGCCAGATCAATATTTGCTTGTGAATACGTGAGAATATCATGTTCCATCAACAATTTATCCTGATTTCTG